TTTGAACTATGTGGTTTTCAGACTTTGTTATGCAGGTTTCATTTCATGTGATGTTTTCTTTTGCATCATGGACTTCTTTTGCATCAATGTGGTTCTCTTTTGCATCAATGTGGTTGCATCATGAATTTCATGTAATGTTGTTGCTAGAATTTTATTATCTATGCTTGGATTTTGGTACTTTGTTAAGATCTTTACAAAATGGACTGAAATCTACAATTTCGTGTCAATTTTGGTTCACCAGATTCGTATCGTGTCTCGGGTTCGCGGGTTAATTCGTGTCACGTGTCACTTTCGGTTTGTGTCGTGTCGACCCGCAACCTGACCATGTCATGGGTCGTGTCACGGTTCTCAATTATTTTCGTGTCATGGGTCGTGTCCGGGTCACGTGAAAAAAAAACTGACACGGCACAAACACGACACGAATACGACACGCGACACGAATTGACACCCCTAATGTTAACCTAATTCTTTTTATTATTTTTTATATTTATTATTTGACACGTAAAATTTATTAACATAATATATTATTATTTAAATAAAAAATAAGATAATAAAATTTACACATCTAACAATTTATAAATAAAATAAAAAAATAATAGTAGCATTTCTTAACAGCATGACCAAGACTAATGTTTCAAGCCAACAAAAAATATATATATTAAAAAAAGACCAAGACAGTAACGGGAGTAGCAGCACACAGACTCGTCGGAAATTCTCAAATCTAACGCTAAGATGCTCCAATGGGCTCGTGAACTCTCGTAACTCGTTCATGAATGTTGTCGGCTTTGATTTATATTCCACCGCCCATTTTAGTTTACACCGACACGTGTCTCAACTTGTGAGACACTTGACATGTACGTCCTGAAAAAAAGGTACGTCGTGTTGCCAACCTTGTCTAACAACCTCTTAAATAATAAATATAAATAATACTGTAATAAAATAAATGAATAAATATATAAAACTTTATCCAGAAGTAAAGATGCCAAGTTGTATCCACAGGAGACCAAACATTCGATACACAATTACTGGATAAATCAGGTACAACCAAGTTGTACCCACATGGTGGTCCCAACTTTATCCGACATCCAACTGAACTGGTCCTTTTTTTTATTTCTTTTTTTTTTTTTTTGGCATTTCGAGCCCTGGAAGTGGACAAGTGGTAAAAAAGTGTTATTTATTTATTTGTTTTTTTTTTTTTTTGAATAAGCAATAAGTGCTCTTTTTTTTTTTTTTTTTTTTTTTTCTCTCTCGAGATCGAAGAGGCGAATTCACAAATTGAGTAGAGACTACAGTCCACAGAGTATGTGCTTGCGGTGCCTATGTGTTTTTCGGTAACCACGTGCGTACATATTTTTGCATTTCCAAAGAGGATGAACCAATTTTCATTAATTGATATATATCTAATTGGGACCTAGATCGATAATCGATAGAGAGAGTTTGAAATTTTAAAGCTTTTATTTCGAGCCTACGATGTAGGCCTCAAAAAGTGTTGCAAGCTTATCATATCATTGAAGTACAATATTAAAGGCGGCAATTGTAGTTGAACTTCTTTTTCCTTCTTCTTATCCACTTGAATCTTCACATACTCATCAGGTTCATTTGACGTTTTTATTAGACTTTTCATGATCCTATTTTCCCGCCGTCTCTTTGTTCTTTTTTTTTTTTTTTTTAATTCCAATTAATTTGGAATCGATTCACGGACCAAAACACAATTATTGGACTTACGAAACAGTTGCTAAACTTCAGATAAACGGAAACTTAATACAGAGTACCACCGCTGCACATGGGATTGACTCTAATTACGTGCTATTTATGTCAATTGTCAACTAAGGAAATAGGTAGCTTGCCATTGGCTTCATCATGTGCAGATTAGATTCCTCATCCAACGAACTTCCGCAAAATGTTAAACAAGTAACATTTGTTTTATACTAATATAATTAATCACTTCCATCAAAATCGCCTTGACTTATTTTCTCCATACTCTTCTCCTGTACATAACACTACACAATATAAAAAATAATATTATGATATACATTATTATGAACCAGATTCAAACCGTCCTAGCGAAAAGAAGATTCCAAAAGACACCCACAGGAAATTAATAAACTACAAAAGCCCATACACCTCAATCCCGCGGGATTACTGCCGACGTGTGCGGAGAAGGTTGTATGGCCATCTGACCCTTCGCTGAGTCAGCATATGCATTAAAGTGAAAAGATAGAAATTGTATTTGACTGTTGGGTTTTTTTTTTTAACATTTAGGTTTATTTAGTTCATTAATTTAAATTTTTAATTTAAATTAAAATGTGATTTTATATTAAAATTTTTTATTATAGTAAAAGAATTAAATGTGATTATTTTTTTTTAAATTTATTATAATAAAATTTAAAATTTAAATTTAAATTGATAAAATAAATAGGTTGTATAAAGTAACAAATAAAATAAATAGGTTGTGTAAAGTAACAAATTTTTATTAATCGAGTAAAATAACCTCATCCACCCTATAGATTCCCATGAACGAAATCACACTTTAATTCGTTAACTATTCACCAGAAACAATAGTTAAAAAAAGAAAACTTTGATTCGTTAACCACTCCAAACTAACCATAGTTAATTCTGTCGCCACACGCTTCCCACCGCCCTACATATACATGTTGCCCTCATCCACCGATTTAAACACAGCAGCAAATCTAGTGGCAAGAAAACCTCTACTCATTCTCAACGAAACAAAAACCTCAACAATCCAACGACATGATTTCTCTCACCTCCTCATCGTCATTTTTCGGCCCAAACGTTGTCGTCGAGGGCCGTCGCAATCCCCAATACCCGAGCTTCAGATCAGTCCGTCCACTGACCATCTCTGCCTCATGCGCATCGACGGTGGAAAGGCCTGGGTCCCACATTGCGACCGGTACGTCTTCGCTCTACGAGGTCCTGGGGATTCGGATGGAGGCCACGTGTCTGGAGATCAAGACGGCGTACCGCCGATTGGCTAGGGTTGTTCATCCTGACGTGGTGGTGGCAAGGGGTCAAAGGGGGCAAGCTTCCGCCGACGAGTTCTTGAAGATCCACGAAGCTTATTCCACGCTCTCAGACCCCGAAAAGCGCGCCGATTACGATCGTCGGCTGTTCGAGCGACAATGGCAGGCGAATTCGCGGTTCACAATGTCGTCGTCGTCGTCTAATTCGGGATTTTCCAGCTTTAGGCCAAGAAAATGGGAAACAGATCAATGCTGGTAGCTAAACTTACTATAAATGGTTCCGCCATAAAGCTACGAACATTGATCATGTGCCACTCCAAGCAATATGGCCTCTGTCTTGAAGAAATTTCAGCTTATGGATATGTATATATACTAGATTTCCGTGGATAAATATTTATCCCTTGGTTTTGTTTGTAAAAATTAAACAGGCGTCATTTTTACAGCCTGCTCTGCTTTGGGGGAGAATATATATTGTTTTGTTCATTTTGCTCATTTTGCTCATTTTGCTCACGTCTTTTGTTGTGAGTTCTGTCCTTATTTGGTTGTCTAATTTTATGCAAAATCTCAGACAAAGAAACAGAACATGGTTAAAAAAAAAGTTTACAAATTCTGGACAAACGGATATAATTCGTTTACTGCAAAACATATTTTAAAATAATTGGAAAAACGTACAAGACCAGATCTTGTTACTTACAAATTTTCTTTAATGTGAAAAACGGAAGATCCGGAATTACAGTGACAATAGATCTACTCTCAAAATATTAGGTGCGTTTGGAACTTATTTTAAAATAATTTTATGTTTTATAAAAAAATAGAAATAAAATTTTTTTTGTATGAAAGTAGAAATGAAAACGCGCATTTTTGACAATATTTTTCTCTTCAAGAGATAAGAAAACAGAATTAAAAAATAAAAAATAATTAAAAATTATTTTTTATTTTTCTCATATTTTAAACTAAATTAAAAAATTATTTTTATTTATTTTTATTTTTAATTGTGTTAAATTCTGTTTCTCCCTCTTCTTATTTTTTATTTTTCAAAAAACGTAAAAATAAAAATAAAAATAACTCCAAACACCGCCATTATTTTTGAAAGGAACCTTCAAAAGATAATGAGTAAAAGAAAAAATAAAAAGAGAAAAAAAGGATGTATATCTCTCTTTTTCTAGGCAAATTTTAAGAATATACTTTAAATTTTTGTTGAGAGCAAAATATCATTTATACTAAAATAGTAATACAAATACTACAATAGAATATGAATGGCTTAGAGTACAAGACATAACACTCAATTGAGATCAGTTCCCTACTATAATCTAACCCCTTCATTTTAATTTGACAAGCAGGAAATTTAAAACGAACGTGTAAAATTCAAATAACAACGATGAAATTCTAGAGACGAGCCGATAACCGCCGAAAACAAGCATTGGAAGCCGTAGCACTACCAGCAAGCCAAAAGAGAGCAGGAAAGAATGTAGGCCTCCAACACTAGAGAACCACCAGTTGCCACCCACTTCCGATCAAGGAATGCACCCTATTCACAGACCTACCACCCAACAGAGACCGAATTCCCCCAAGAGTAAAGAACTCAGAATATCGGCGTCTCTCCGTCGAGAGAAGGGCGGCCGTGTTTAGAATTAATCATGTTTTTGTTTTTCACATTTTTCAAAAAAGAAAAAATAAAAACGTTTTTAAAACGGTGTTTGGCGCAATAAAAACAAAAAAAAGAAATAAAAATAATTTTTTAATTTAGTGTAAAATGAGAGAGAAATGAAAAATAACTTTTAGTCGTTTTTCATTTTTTGTTTTCATTTTCTCCTCTATTGAGCCGAGAGAGAGAGAAAAAAAAAGACATTAATGAGTTTTTTTATATACTGAAAATAATATCTTGACAAAACTACCAAACACATTTTTAAAAATGATTTCTGTCTGAGATTGAAAATGTTTTCATTTTCATTTTCATACAAAAATAAAATTATTTTAAAATCAGTTCTAAACGCACCCGCTATCTCTCGACCTCCACCATCTTCGCTTGTCAACAGCCAAGCAGTCTAGGCTTCGGGGTCGCCGAATGCGGCCCCCCTCCCCTTAGCCCTGTAGCTACCTCTGTAATGCTAGCACTTTATAAATCCTCGGAGCAACTCCCGTCATGTCACTTGAACACCTTTCCACATGGCTGGAATTCTGGAGACCAGCCCAGAGGCGGCGCCGGACTCTAGTCGTTTCGGACTCTTTGTTGAGGCCGTGCAACTACATTACAAGATAAAGAGAAGAAGCCCTAGTGGATGGGGAGAGAAAGTTGTTCACTCACAACAATAAATAAATATAGGATTTTAGCGCTGATTACTTTGCATATATTCTCCTTCAAAATTTTAATATTGTAACAACATCTGAAACTTCAATTTGTATCTTCAAAATATTTTTAGGTGCACTGTAAACAAAATCTTGTTTAGGTATAAAAAACTTCTGAAAATATTTTGACAAATTAAAGTGTTGTACTGTTCTTTTTAATATAAATTTTTGGGAAAGTTCATAAAAATAGGTATTGTCTCCGTCTGCTGCGGACTGGAGACAACCTATGTTATAGATGTCAGAGTTTAAACATTTTAAAAAATTAACAATATAATGCCATGTGTAAATTGGCTGTTGAAGGAGTAAGTTTTTTCTGTTTAAACCACGACACCTGTATATAATTGCAGTGGAGTGTCATGTAGGGAGCTTATAATTTAATCAGTTCAGAGGCAAAAAGGTGATATAATATGTATTTAATAATGCCAAAACATAATTTAGATAAGCAAACTAGTACACACTAACGACAATGTATAAATCGGGTTTAAATGTGTGACTTTTTTTGAGACAAGTGTACAACTAACATAGTAGCATTTACATTATTAGAATTGTGGTTGTTCATATTACTTAGGGTGTGTTTAGTTACAATAAGAGGATGATAATGGAAATGAGAATGAGAATAGAATGAAAAAAAAAAAGTTGATTCATTTATTTAATTGTAATTTAAGAATTCTCTGAAATGAAACATGAATATTTTCATGTTGACAAATTTACTCTTATATTATAAGTAACACTAATATTTTATCTATCAATATAATATATAAAATGTAATACAATATAGTAAAATTATTATTATATAATTATGATATATTATATAACAATATTATTAAAATTTTTAATATAATTATAATATTATAATATATAAAATGTAATATAATATAATAAAATTATTATTATTATTATATAATTATGATATATAATATAATAATATTATTAAA